GTGAGGACACAAAACAACACACCCTTGAATATGTCCAGCTTTTATCAATATCTCAATATCTCTTCTCCGCCAGCAGCTCCTGGTCTGAGGAAAAAAAACCACGTGGCAATGAAAGGGGTCCAAGTGTGAAGGTTTGGCCTAGGCACAGACAGCTAGGCCTGCAGGTAGGCTCTGAAGGACAACAGGAGGTGAGCCAGGTTACCATGGTGTTAGGTTGGGCTCTGGATCAATGAAACAGGGAACACAAGACCAGGTTCCTGGAGAGCCAAGAGAGGGATCCAAGAGATGTAGTCCAGGGTGCAAGCCGAGGTGAGAAGCCAGGAGAATCAGAGAGCTGGGTGCCAAGTCCCAGGGAAGATGCAAGAGCAGGGCCAGGGAAAGCCCAAGCTTTCAGGAGCTAGGAGAATCGGAGAGAGCAGTGAATGCAAGGCTTGTCAGAGCAGACTGAGACTGTCGTCAAGGTCTGCTTGCAGCCTGAGGCTGGGGTGTGCTTAGAAGGGCTGTGCGCGCTCTCAGCAGCCAGTCCAGTTACAGAGAACTGGGGCAGTGGCATTACGCGGAGGTCAAGGTCAGGCACAGAAGCTCCAGAACGTGGTCCAAATGGACTTGACTGACCAGAGGCACTGCCACCAGGCTCCTGTGGGAACAATTCCAAATCATGGACCAACATTTTTGGTCCAGAAAGGTGAGCAGCAACAGCGGGAACACATCCTGGCCACCTGGGGTGTCAAGCATCCCCTGTGCTCAGTCACAGTGCTAATGATTACCTAGGATGCCCTGGCTCACCGTACACCACTAAAGGCAGACGGCAGTGCCGTCTTGTGGGAGACGCTGTCAATTCTGGATTCTCTATTACCCCTAGTCTCATAGGGTCCTGCTGTGCTGGGCATTCAGATCAAATGCATCTGTTTAATCCAGTTTTGTGTTTACTGTTTAGTTAATCATGGCAGGTTAGGGATCTATGCCCATGGTTTTTTTGTGTCTGTCATTTAAATCATAACCAGAAATGACAAGCAGATGATATAGCATGTATAAATAAGTAACATATAATTACAAAACACCAGTGTGTTTTCATTTCCGTTCCCAATTCCATAACATTATTTTGACTGATGTCTATCAATAATCATCATCAATAATGGCATAAGATGTAAAACCTTAATGTTTTGTGGGTCTGCATGTTTAAGAAATAAGATTAGCAGCCACAACTCTGGGAGCAGTAAGAACGATTCTCCATCTCAGTTGTTTCTGTTAAGTGCCTTCTCTCCTTTGTACACTGTCAAAAGATGATGTTAGGGGGAGGAGGGACCACTAGGCTATCTAGGTCTGAGGGAAAAGTTAATCATTAAAAAAATGGAAGATACAATCTTAAAATGTTGAATGTATAAAACTTCCATTTGAAAGAACAGCCTCATTGTGTGAAACATTTGCTTATCAGGCGATACTCCTGGCACATAGTTAGAGATTAAGCAACAACCCCTTCTCTCCGGTGCTGGAAAACAGCCTTAGAAATTACAGGTACATTTCTCCATCGCAGAACTGTTGACCTTTTACATTATTTTCTGCTCCAAATTTCTGTGTTTCTATTCACCTAACCCAGCTTGCTTTAGTATTTAACAGAGCTTTTACAGTTTCTTATGGGTTTAGGATATTTTCCTCTGTGTCCAATTAAAACATAGTTAGGGGCGTACCTTTTCTCTTTTATTCTCTGTCCTGGGAAGGTTTGATTTGCATATGGGCTGGAGAGCCAGGGAAAAAGGAAAGTTTAGGTTGAGCAAGGAAATCCAATGTTCACTTCAACAGACTAGATACATCCTGTGAAGATCTTGGTCTACTTGACAACTGGAGGGAACTCCAGAGATGCCACATCACTAATGCATTTGAAATTTTAACCATTAAAAAATATGATCTAGTTGTGTTTGACATCCTCCTGAAGAGCCAGACTAAACATACAGGGACTAGAGATATAGAAACGTATAGGAGTGCACTTTGAGTGACTGTCCAAACTAACCACAGAAATTGCAAATGATTTATGTTGCTACTAACACTGATAATAACTGTCTCATGGCAAGATACGCTCTAATAGGAAGGTGTTTGGCTTCTCACTGCTTTAGAACTGTTTTTACTGTATGAAGCAATGATATTACCAGAGGACTGAAATTAAAGCCATTCAATAAGTTCTGAACTGATGAACTACATCAATTTAGAGACTTTATTTGCATTTATCCCAGCTGTCCTTTTCAAACAGAATTCCTGCCATTCATACTCTCAGACACATCTGCTAATAACTGCAAGCAAATGGCAGAACTTAAGGATTCCCAGAGGCAGATCCCTTCAGTATCAACCATTTTTTGGAAACGTGATGTACAGAACACAAGTGGTCATTATTTTAAGTAGACTCATTTTAATTACAAAGGCAGAGCTCCTAAGATGTCACATACAATGCTATAACAATAAAGTCACTATGTAAAATAGTTTGGCAATCAAAGTGAAAAAAGAATACAAAAAAAAAAAAGACCCGCTGTAGGAACAATAGGATCAACGCTTGCACCGTGCTAGTCCCACATCACAGTGTTTATTTTCTCTCAGCTTTATGAATGCACATTTTAAAATTAAAATTCTGTGCATACCCATGTTACATTGGGATTGATCGTTTGCAACCTGAAACTTGAGTAGAGCTGTAGTAAAAGAAAAACTCTTTAAACAGGGAAAAACCCCTGATAAATAGATGATACTTAGAACACTCCTGTGCAAATCTGGAGTGATTTTTCTTGACCTCATTGATGTTGTAGCATCAATTTGTATTATTCTATTTCTTATGCACGGGCAACTGGTGCCTCCTGGCTCTGGGGAGGCACCAGCGGCCGATCAGCAACCAGGATGGGGGGGGTCCCCCAGTGGCCAATCAGTGACCCCAGAAGCGCAGGGGACAAACTGGAAGTGCTGCCAGCAAAACCGGAAGTGCCACCGGCACTTCTCGGGGGGGGGCATCAACTGGTGCTCCCCACTCCCCGGCCTGTGAGGGCCAATTTCAGGGGGAGCATGTGCCCCCCCCCCCCCCCCCACTACACATTGCCTATGTTCTTATGTATGCCTCCTTTCTTTATCTGATTTATCTCTTACTAGTAATTTAGTTGTAGTGAGTATGCTTAAATGAGTAACATTGGCTTACCTGGAGGATAAGCCACACCTGCCCAGCTGTGAACCTTGAGAGGAATGGCACTGAGAGAAGCTGCAGAGCTGGCTGTATATTCTCTTACAGTGCTACTGTCTCTGTCTTGGAGCTGAAAAACTTATAGCCAAAAAGGAGGAAGCACCTCCCACCAGAAACACTCTACCGACCCAGACCTAGTCTATTTGCTCAGCCCCTTATCCAAGACCACCCCCAAACCAACAGCAGCATATCCCCATCCACAACCCACCTGCCATCATAATCACTCCTTATTGCCAAAACAACAATCTTTTGTGACTGCAAAGAATTGTGGGATTGAGCATGTAATGAAGCTGTGGATAGTTTATGGGCCCTAGAAACAAAAACTTGAGAAACTGCAATAAAAGTACTCCAAGCTGCCAATTCTAAAATAAGAGAATAAGTATGCTTTTGTGAGATGAATCTACCCCCTGTGGCTCTTTTAAATTTAAAATGAGTTTCATATCATTTTCATATGCACTGTGCAAATGATAAATTATGTACTTCAAAGCAATGTGAATTTGAATATGCAAACAGTAGAAGTCCATTATTAACTGGGAGACATAGAATTACCATACCTGAAAATAAAACATAGATTAAAAAAATTAAGACTTCTACAGTCCACAGACTATATGCTGTTTACAAAGGTATTGACACATGATCCTTCCTAGCTCTGATACCCACTTTGACTTACAATAATGATTCATACTTTGTGTTGCCTCAGAACACTTGGAGGTCAAAATAAAAAAAAGTATCAAATCCTTTTTCTTATTACAAGGCTCCACTTACAGTACTCAATTAAATTTAGTAATCAATTAAATTACTAAATTGTAATTTCTACCCATTGTACAAGACTGCTATTTTCAAAGCTCTACCGCAAGTATAATGTGCAAGTGTGAGATTGGCATGTTGTAGATTAATAAATGGATTTGGGCTAAGCAATGGCAATTTGACAAACTACTTGCAATTCATTACAAGTTAAAACTTAATTTGTGTAGTTTTGAACAGAATGGTTCGCAGACCTGTGTATATTAAGATGCTTTCATTTGAATCGCTTTTCACTGTAAAAAGAAGACATTGAGACATCGTGCAATATTGATTCAGTGTAAAATGATATCACCAATGTGCTTTCTGAATGCTAAGTTGTCCCTCCCTTTCTCTCCTCCCCTGCACACACACACACATTAGCAGAACAAAGTTCTCGGTTCACATCAGGGTATCTGTCACTTTGGTATGAGTTCTGTATGCAGTTTAGCAAAATACATTTAGTAAAATTGCTGTATCCCAACTTCTCATTTTGATTCTACCTCGTGTGCAACTGGAGTAATTTTGTGAAGTTGTATGGTAGTATTCAGAACACAAAACAATGTCTTTTGATTTGCATTTCATACTATTTTTTTTCTTTTTCACATGGATGCATAGAACTACCCAATAATTTGCATATCAATGGAATATTTTTGCAAAACCAAACCAAGGTTTGGCACAATCTTTGAAAATAACAAGCCTAATTGATTCCTACTGCTGTTATAATGCTACTGACTACTGTGGAATTACACTGGGGTTAAACTTTGGCCAATACATTTAACAGAACTGGAATTCAAGTGGCAACTCTAACTTAATTATATACAGTACCATGACGACTTGAAGGGGTCTTTTATTGAGCAGAACACTTAACAAGCTCTTTATTAAATACTTATTAACCCTGTGTGAAACGGATTGCAAAAGGAATGAAAAGTACATACATGAGGGCACGCACACACACACACACACACACACACACAGTAAATGATAAAGGAAGAAAAATAATCAACACTAAAAACCACCACAAATATCTGAGGTATAAAAATTGTATTTATATTACAATGAAAAAATGATACAACACAATACTTTCAGTGTGTGCTACAGAATGTAGCAAGCACCATGTACGTGTTTACAAATGAAACTTTACAGTATCATACATCTTACAGGCTATGAAGCGCTCCTTTTTGGATGTATATTCCAATGGCTCTGGCACAGAATGTACCGAGTACGCCCCTAGAATTCGACCAGTAAAGCATCCTCCTCAGCAGAAGTGCCTCTTTCACATATTTCATGTTTGGCCAAGTATTGCCAATTAAGAATTCCTATTGCACAGACCCTTTAAACCACATACATTGTGTGAAACCACATTTTACAATTCTATTACTCATGCAAAGTGAAAAGAGGAAGTCTTGAAGTTAGTCTGCCTTCACTGTGGTTTGCTACCAGGCTATACTACAGGTGTACTTGGGTTACCAGGAGTCTTTGCTTGGATTCATTTCTAAAATTGGCAGCCACAATGATTACATGGTTTTTAATAGTCCTTATTAATATGTGGATGTACACATAGGCTTAAAGGTCACACTTTCATTTTAATAGTTACATAATACACCTATATTAGATGTTTCTTTTGCAGCGATCAGATAGGAATATTGCCTTTTATTCACTAAACACACTGACTCATGTTCTTTGTTAGTGGAACACAATTCAACTCCAATGAATCTGCTCCATTTGTTTTACAGTGATGCAGTGCTCCTTTAAAAACAAACAAACCAGAAACCTAATGGCTCAATAGTCTTTTCAACCAACTTTGGATAGTGCATTATTCATTAATTAAATATTTAGACACATTCATCTTTATTATTTGTATTTTTGTAACACATGGAACAATGGCCTTCTAATGAAGAAGAATTCTGAAGTTTGATTTTCAGGCATTACCTTATTTACATATTCATACAAAAATGTATGATATTTAATATTTTTGTTCAGAGACTGTGCTGGCAGGGTTAAAAACATTTAAATGATTTTAATTTCCTTATAGAAATGACCTTTGAGTGGAAAAAAGCTGATAAAACTAATTAATCAAATTAACATGCTAGAAAAGTCAAATGATAACTCTTTGCACCCATGTACGCTGTTCTAAACCCTTAGAAAAGAGCTGGCCAATAGATTCCACAGCTTTGGTATGGGGCACAAGCACACACTTGTAGACTGAACTCATATGCACAGAATCTCTTTATGATGTTTTGAACTTCCACATCTCATTAGTTTGGTATTTTAACGTCATATGCCAAAATACATTGTGTTGATAGAAGAGAATTGGTAAGAAGAGAATTGAAAAATTGTAAATGCTTTATCAATCCAAATCATTTTTATTTGTACTATTGGGATTGTTCTAAACTAGCTGTTGGCAAAAAAAATGTAAGTTGTAACTGCTACATCTGCTCCAATACCCACTAGCCAGGGGGTCTTTTCTTTATTTGATCCGAGTTTGATAAGCCCTGAATAAAAACCTTAAAATAAAGAATTAAGACGTTAGGTTGAAGCCTGGCTGCAAATACCAAATGTAACTTTGTAGCGTTGTTATTTTTTGGTCCATTCCTGCACTCTGGCAAAACTGGCACTGCAATCAGCTTGATTTTTACACAGGGAAATAAGAGGGGCCAGTTCTTGAATGGGATTGTGCATGTCAAGGAGTTCACCTTACTGATAGTACTTCCTAAAAAAGGAAGATGAAAGGGTAAGTCTTCCATGTGCTTGCAGAAGCATTGCTGGAGGGGGGGAGAATGGGAACAAGGGAATGTGCATCTTCCCCCACAAATTTAGTGGGGGATCCTGTAGAAAAAAAATAAATGCAACTTAGAGCTGCTTTGACTCTTCTGTGGCTCCATTGAGGCTGTAGCTGATGAAGTCCTCAGAGTATATGACTGAACTGGAGGGAGAAGGTCACAAAACCAGTGGAGACACAGGTCTTAGTGGGACCTGCAAGTTCTGATGGCAGAACTTCACCATTGCTCCATAAGAGAGATCAAACCTCCGCAAGGAAAGCTTCATGGCAACTCCCTCCCTCCACAGTTCCCTCCCAGAAAGGGGAGAACCAGCCCTGTATTCTTGTACACGTCAAACCCTTTCATGTTTCTTAACTGCAGAAAGAAAAAAGTTTAAAAGTAACTGACAAAAAAGTTACATTTTCTAATTTAAAAACACTGTCATTACACGAAATGATAGTTCAGTTGGAGTTACTCCAAGAAAGTGATTATTCAATCAGGTTGTTTTGCAGTAATGTTTGGACCACAGCTCTAACAACTAAGCACACGCAGTGACAAAGATCCACCTTTAAAATGAATGAAAAACCAGAAAACTAAATTCATCCCTAGTAGCTAAGCAACAAGGCAATATAATTAACAACACTGCACTGGTGCTGGATGGGACAATGACTAACGTTTTGAAATGGAATATTAAGACCCCAACTTTTCACACTGAAGTTAGTAGAAGCAGCATATGGCATTTAGCACTTTGCTATGGAAATTATACCACTTGGACTAGTGGCCTGATCCTACCTATTTCTTACTCAAGCAAGTAATACTTAAAACAACTGTGCCATTGCCTTCAGGGAGACTCCCTTGGTTAGGAGGGATTAGCAGAAATGGGTTCTATGTCTGACAGTTGTCATAGTCAATCAGGTTTTAAGACAAACATTCAATGAGAAAAATACCTTTTTTCTTGGTCTTCATAATGGTTACCATAGTAATAACTAAAAGTAAAAACAAATAAACCCTTTTCATTTCTACTCAGATTATTGGAGTAATTTTTATTGAAAATATAAGATCTACAAAGCCATGGATACCCAGTGTGGAAGAACTCATTAAGTTAGCACATTCATCTTTCAAAGGAGAATTCCAGATCAACAACAGTGTTCAATTTAAAATCTCTACTCTCCTTCTATGAGTTTCAATTTTTTTTATTAGGAGGTTCTGTGCAAGAGCTGCTTGTCATGAAAAGAAACACTTTACAATTCATGAATGTGTTCATTATAGAATAAATGAACAGCAACAATATTACTAGCCTTTTTTCCTGTTAACAGTCATGTGTTAAAGTAAACTCTTAATTTTTCCATGATTTGGAAATTAGTTACATATGCACCAAAGGAGCTAGTAGTTTCTGCTGCTTGTCAGCTACACACAATGAATATATTGCTGTGTGCTTTCCCCAACAATGAGGATTTTAGTAATATGCAAGGTGTGTATAACATAATACCAAAACCTGCATCACAGAAAAGGATAAATGTTTTCTTTTTCAGCTGCCAGAGTTTATAACCTTAGGCTCTGCCCCAGAGCCGAAGTAGGGGTAGCCATACATTAGGTTACGTAACTTAAAAGTATTCATTTTCCTTGTTGGCAAGTTCCAAGCAGTAAGCAAGAGTGCAAACAAGGATTGTAAGCTGCCACAAATGTATTCATATTTCTACTCTGTGTTGTAAGAGCCAAAGGGAGGACACATATGTCAAATGTTAAAAGAACAACCAAATCTTTGTTTTGATCACTATGGTCAGTATGTCATGAGGTTTTTATATCTGAATGCTAAAAATGGCACCACAGGTAGACATCCTCTAGCATTATACAGTACGGTTGTATTTCCATAGCCATTTAATGCTGGTCTCACAGAGACCCTGACTTTGTAAGGTAACAAAACAGAGAGCTGGGTGCTGAAGAATCAAGGAGGGCCTGTAGCAAGATCATGAACCCTCTCACCAAAATCTAATTTCATAATTTCACTTAAAACCTCACAGAACTGGATGCAAGAGGATTAAGACACAGATACACCTCCCAGTCCTTCATTTGTAACAAGATCATTCAAATAGAGGTCCTTAAAGAAACAAAGCTGAGTTGTCCTTTAAACAATGAAAAAGGAGAGGCATACATAAAATGGTCACCAAGGCACAATATAACGAAGGTGAAGAGTCCCTGAGACTCTGGTCTGGGTCTGTACCATTCCCCTCCCTATACAAGTAAATGAGAACATTTAGGAAAATATAATACAAAATCTCTTACAGGAAATATAGACTACACTTGCTAAAATCACTTCTCTAAAAGTGTTTATAGCTTTTTTCTTTTTTTTAATCTTTTTTTCTTTTTTTTTTTTAAAAGACCTTCTTTAAACAGATAATGTAAAGACTGGTCCATTTTTTCTTACCCAGCAAGCCAAGCTCTAATGACTTCACTAAGCTGAAGTTGTATTAGAATACATCTCCATAGTATTGCTACAATTTGGGTAAATATGTTCTGAACAGCTTGATGAATACTAAATAAACTTTGCTGTTTTACAGCATACATTTTATTTTTTTGCATTTTTTAAAGAATAGAAAATGCAATTATAGTGTGCAAAAAAAAAAAAAAAGAAGAAGAAAAAAGAAAAAATGATTAATTATCTTCTAGCTGAATACTGTAATTTTAAGCCATGCCTTCCATAAAAATGTATTGGCAGCTGTAAATAGGAAAAAAAATACAAGCAAACAGTAATTTTATTTCCTTGCAGGGAAGATTAACTATCAAAATCTGAATCAGTTGCACTCTGTAATTTGTCAAATGAACAAAATGAAACGAAACACTGACATGTCATCCATTCCACGATAACAGGTCAGAACTGCCACTTTGACTTCTAGTAGCCCTGCTAAAATGGAGAGAATGGTTGGCTGCTGGTTGGATGTCAAACACATAAAGCAAAAGAAAGTTGAGTTCATCCCACATGAAGTCATTGTTAGAGCTGGCTTTTTTCCCTGTTTTGAAGTACAGTAGTGACTTGTCAATGACCTTCTTCAAAAGATCATTTGAGATTTGAAGATTTTTCCATCTAAATCTTTCAAAACACAGCTGCTTAAAAGAATTTATATATTCTACAGGCTGCTATGAAGCATTCATAATTTCTTTATGAAAAAAACCCAGAAAAAGTAGTCGAATTTTTGTAGCTTTGAATCACTAACACGATAGTTTCCATTATTTTTTTTTGACATCTGAAAACGGTCTCCACAAAATAATCGTCTTAAACGTCCTTATCTCGTCATTTGCTTCCAATCGTTTGAATTTCATACTTCTTGAATGGAATGATATGATTTTTTGTTTGTTTGTTTAAATTTGCAGTAGGGCTACATCAAGCTAGCTTTAAGTCACAACTGTACCTAACCACAGTTCTCTGCAACAAAACCATGATTTACAATATCTAATATTGTGGTTACAGTGCAGGGAACCGTGGGTAAGAAACCTCCATTTCAGAGTATTGTGGTTGGGGTTTCCTGGAAGAGTGGCAGTTGACACCTCTGGAATTTTCTTATAAGTGCTTCAGTTAGATAGATGGTCCTGAGTTGAGCTGGTAACTCAGGCACTAGGAGAGCCTGGCATTAAGTCTGCGGGAATGTGTATAGCCACCATCGCTTGAACCGCTTTGCAAACTGTAGTGGTCTTCAGCATCGCTGGCACTCCCAATACTGTCCATTTCACCAGGTGTAAATTCCATTCCTTCAATGTCTACTTCTAAACAAAACACAAAAAGGCAACATTTTCAGAAATGCACAGTTACCTTGGGTCAATGCTGCAGGTGTAAGTTAAGACTAACACACTAGCGTATGGTTCAAACCGCATTTCATTTTCCTTTAAAAAATATATATATTTCTTTAAAAATTCAGTGAATTCCTGAGAAAAATACGAGATTGATACCCCCGGGAATTAAAATCTCATTTTTATCCACAGGACAAATACAACATGATACCAGTAAAGGTTCTAGATTTGTGTCCAAAGCCTGATGTGCAGATACCAGGGTAAAGACTAAAACAAGGAGCTTAATTCCCATGGACATTTCAATACTAGCAGTCTTTACTGACACGGTTTAGCAGAAGTGCTAGTTAGTGGTAACTGTGGTGCAGCCATGAGTCCACTAAGAGTTGGAATGAGACCAATAGCTCATTTCTCACTGGCCACTGGAAAGCCATCAAATGGTAAGGTTTCAAGCCATTAAAACTCAGAGTGGATACAAACTGGTGATGAGAGCTGAAAAGCTCTTTATTGCTTAACTAATGATTTGAACCATGCAGCCCAGACTTGTAATAATATGCATCATCCTACGCAGAATTGTCAAGCGTTTTCAGGTCTGAATAATCCTTTACATAAAAAAAACCTGATTAATACAGAGGATATAAGCCCACTTTACCAATCCATCACAGAAAGAACTCTAGACACGTATAGCTGAACTTAAAATAAAAAATCCTGTCAAAAGCAAGACAAAACTCCAAACTGGCCTTCAAAAAAAACTTTTAAAAAAAATGAAGCAATTATTAATCCCACAAATTTCAAGATTGTAACGCTTTTTGGTTCAGTAAAACTGTTCATGGTTTCTTCTGCTTTCCCTCCCCCTTTTCCTTCTTTCATTCTGCCATTATGACAGGGGAAAGGGAGATGGGAGAGGAGGAAAAATCATAAATGAAATTACATAATTTTTAGGCTTCTAAGCTCCTCAGAAAAGAAATGAAATAACGTGAGTTCCTGATTTAGGAAAAGGCTATTTTTCAATAGAAAACTTTTTTGAAAATGTCTCTTTATACCTAGAGAACCAACATGAAACAAGCAGCACCAAGAGCCTTGCTGCCAAATACAAAAAAACTCTCTCAGTAAGGAGCCAGATTCTGATATTGCTGCTCACAAGGAGCAGCACGTTCTTTCACAACCATCCTGTTCTTTACCATGGGGCCACCTGGTCAGCTAATCTTCCTGATTACACATATTAGATTCTGGTCTCAAGGGCTCAATCTTGCTCCCAGCAAAGTCAATGGTAAAACTGCTACTGCCTTTAAAAGTGGCAGGATTGGGTCCAAGGCACTAGTATGGTACAGAGCCATGTAAAACAAAGTTAATGCCTGTAGTTATTTAATGGAAGTATGTGTTTAAATTGTGATTTGACACAATTCATAAGAACAGGAAGCAAAACAATATATGGCTGGCCATCCTTAACTCACTGCTAGACAGACTGGAAATTGTCTGCAAAAAGGATGCAAGTGCCTCTTAAGAAAATGAGCACTGTTTATATTTTTCATTTATATTCTGCCAGTCAAAAAATATGGCAGAACAACCAATACACAGTTAAATATCTATTACAAGCTATCATCCCTTGCTGCAGTTGTATCATTTCCATTAGCAGGAGTGTGAAATTAGCGATCAGAAAGTGATAAGGCCTATATTTTATTGTTAAAATCAGGGCAGAGAGGAATGTATGTTATTACTCACAAAGCAAGGGACTTGCTCCTCCCATAGCTCTCACACTGCTGTGTGGTTCACGTTCTGGTGGTTACACAGCCCCATGCGCTGCCTTGTAGAAACTGATGAATGAGCTACTAGGATCCTGAGCCAGATCCTCAGAGGGTGAAAACCAGGGTAGGTCCATTGATTTTAATAACTGCACAATGATTTATAGCAGTAAGGACCTTACTTGTGCTTTAAAAGCCATAGACTACATCAGTTGGGATGCAGTCAATTACATATTTTGTAATATATTTCCTAATAATTTAACTGGACCTTACAATGATCTATCACATTGCAGTACATTTATTTTTTAATACTTGAACCTATTACTGATTTACCATTAACCCCAAGGACCAGATTGCACATTACTTGCATGAAATGATGCCCCATTATTTGATTAATTCTGTCAACTTCAAAGACAACGCTATTTCATTTGACCAAGGACAGCAAAAACTCAGCCCAACTGTTCCTGAAGCCAGGGGCACCTCTTACTGGATTACCTTGTTCCGAATCAGTGGATATTGTTGATCCCATGCTGTCAGTGCGGATGCGTTCCATGCCCTGCATGGAGAGCTGTTCCAATCTGCGTTTGAGGTAGCGGTGTTCCCGCTGTAGTTGTTCTTTGATATTTAGAGCTTTTCGGTCCTGTTCTTCCAATTTCTTGGGGGGAGAAAATAAACAACAAATGAAGCCAGAAACATGGACTGATTTTAAAACAAAAGCAACTTATTTCAAATACTTTGTTTTTCATAAACATGTTAATATATCATCTGACACCATCCAATGGTTATAGGACATCTATATTAAGCAGATCAATGACCATTGTCAATATGAAAAGAGCCAGCTGAGACCACCTGCCAGAAACAAGTGTGGAAGGACAGACTGAAAAAGACCTCCACCCTACATTGCAGACTCTTGCAAAGATTGAAAATGTACCACCCCTGCAGATGTGGACCACATGCTGAAGTTCTTGTGCAACAATCTTACAACTCTGTACTAATGCAATTACTATGTGCAGGGGTCCTGCCTCTCCTCCCAAACAAATGGGGTAACTGAGTAATTATGGTTAATTGAATAATTGAATGGTTAACTGAATAATTTAGACTGCTTCAACCTACCACAATTATATATTTATGTAGCTACCATGTGTGGGGTCCTGTATTGTATTGTAACTCTCTTGAACCATGTAAAGAGTCATTTTCTCGCTAATATGTGAATGCACAGTAGGGCAAATACTCTTGTGATGCAATTTCATGGATTTCAGTAAAGTTATAACTTTTTAGAGCAGCAGTTAGTTTTGCCAGTAATAAAGCTCACAGCGTAGGCTGTATTATTTCAAAACAGTGGTGCCAGTGGTAAGGATTTTTCAAAGTAAGACTCAATTACTGTTCCATTATTGCTGGGAGAATATTTAAAATCATTCTACCAGGCAATAATAAAAGAAAAGTGCCATCTTGGATAAATATGTAAAATGAAGGAAAACCAGCTTGCAGTCAAAATGTAATGCTTGCTTAGGTGAAAGAGTG